CCATGGACATCAACACAGACCCTAGCTGCTGTAGGGCCACGGACCTAGACATGGCCTTTGGTAGCAGCTCAGACCCAGATGTCATCATGGCTCCAGGTGATAGCACAGGCCACTTATCTCAGCATGGTCCCAGAGGTAGCAAGACCTTCAGACACCAATGTTGCCACAGATGGCAGCCCAGATCCCAGGCATCCATGTGGCTTTTGGTGGCAACATGGGCCATAGACATCAACACAGACCCCAGCTCCAATAGGACCATGGACCCAGACATGGCCCTTAGCAGCAGCCTGGCCCCGGACGTCACCATGGCCCCTAGTGGCAGAATAGGCCACCCAGATCAATATGACACAGCTGCAGCATGGCTCTTAGGCACCAACATGGCCTCAAGTAGAGGACCAGACCCCCGGCATTTGCACAACCTTCAGTGGTAACAGGATCAACAGCCGTAACTCAGACCCTGGCTGCAATAGGGCCATGGACCCAGACATGGCCCTCAGCTGCAGCTCAGGCCAGGATGGCACCATGGCACCAGGTGGCAGAGCAGGCCACTCAGATCACAGTGGCCCCTGCAGTAGCACAGCCCTTGGACACTAATACGGCCACAGGTGGCTGCCCAGACCCCAGGTGGCTGTCCAGACCCCAGGCATCCATGTGGCCTTAAGTGACAACAAGGGCCACGGATGTGAACACAGATGCCTGCTGGGATAGGACCACAGACACAGACATGGCCCTTGACAGCAGTCTGGGCCCGGATGTCACCGTAACCCAGGGTGGCAATCAGGCCATCCACATCAGCCTGTTCCTCACTGCCTTAACTTCTTCAGTTCCACCTCTTTCTACAGTACATGAACCAGTTTATTTCTCTTTCTCTCCCATTTCTCCACCATATATTTATTTGCTCTTCATAGTGGTGCCTATCTGCCTGGTGCTGCAAGGATGTCTTCAGCCAGCCCAGGCCATGAGGACCCGGGCAGGCCTGTGTCCCTCTTTTGATTTTTGACTTTGAGACAGCATCTCACCTAAGTTGCATAGACTGGCTCTGAGCTCTTTCTGTAGCCTAGTGCTCATTTGGTAGCTTTGATCTTGAGAATAAATTTGAACATAATATTATTTTCAACATGAATTAAGTGTTAGGAGATTTTAGGATTCAAGGGAAAATAGAAAAAAAATAAATATTATAAAGACTGTGATTTTTTTTAATGTCCAAATGGTAGTTTTAAGAACCAGACAATTTTTAAGGGTCTTTTTGTGTGTGTGTGAATAGGTAATAGAATTAATTGGTGGCCTGGTTTTATTATTTCCTCCAGCAATGGACAGTAGTATGAGCCCCTATTATTATCTTTATTATTATTATTATTATTATTAATTATATTTTATATTATTATTCCTTAGAAGCCAGTTTGTTTTCTTTCATTTTTTTTAAATTTTAATTTCTGCCGGGCGGTGGTGGCGCACGCCTTTAATCCCAGCACTCGGGAGGCAGAGCCAGGCGGATCTCTGTGAGTTCGAGGCCAGCCTGGGCTACCAAGTGAGTTCCAGGAAAAGGCGCAAAGCTACACAGAGAAACCCTGTCTTGAAAAACCAAAAAAAAAAAAAAAAAATTTAATTTCTGTGAAGCTTTATTATCAATCTACCATACAGAGACAAAGCCCAACACCCCTCCTCCAACAAGCAAGCTGAATAACATTTTAACAAAAAGAGCCACTTTCTTAATAATACAGGGGAAAAAAGCCAAAAAAAAAAAAAAAAAAGAATGTTAAAAGAAAAAAACAAAACCCAAAACTACCAAATCACAACACTTGGAAGCCTGGCAACTGGGAGGTAAAAGCTACAAGTCCCAGGCCAGAGACAAAAACATCCACAATATAAAGTAAGAACCCCAAAAATGGCTGTGGTGGAAGCAGAGGGATTAATGAGGTTGTCATCCCCAGCCAAACCATGACACATTCTCAGAGATACCCAGAAGAGGGTTTGAGCTCCTCCAATGCTTTCAAAGTTTCAGGGACCTGATGCGAGGCCTAGTCCGTCTTGAGTACGGCATTTTCAGCCTGGGCGCAGGCTCAAATCCCCTCTGTGAAAACGGCAGCGGTTGAAATAAAAGCTCCATGGGCACGCTTGGCTCTCTGGTTCTAGCTTGCTGTCACATGACTTGTACACACTGTGCCAGTTTGTTTTCTAATAAGAGACGGGGTAGATCTTGATGGCATGGAAGTTGAGGAAGAACTGGGAGTGGTTGAATAATAAATTTTACAAAAATTGGAATTTAGCAAATTTATCAAAAAAAAGAACAAGAATTAGCTAATCAAACATGCAATTGATGGTGGTGTTGGAATAATAATCCATAACACACAGGAAAGAGTACAGTAAAGGCCCAAGTCTAGGAATGTGGGCAAGGTATTAATGTTGACCTGAACCTACCGATGTGCTAGTGAGATGTACAGTCAGGGTGGAGTGGTGTTCATTCAGGGGTGTGAACATTCCAGATTATGATCCTGGCATCAGTTCAGTCTCTGTAAATTAGGTAGTATGAGTGTCTCTGGGTCTTGAAGACAGAACAGAAATAAATGCCTTTAGAGACAAGATACAGATATTTCTAAGGAAAGATATTAGAAGAGTAATCAGATTTGACAGTTAGGATTACTGTAACTGTGATGAAATACCATGACTAAAGCAACTTGAAGAGGAAAGGGTTTATTTGCCTCACATATTCCTAGTCACAGTCCATTGAGGGAAGCCAAGGCAGGAACTCAGACAGGAAAGAACCTGGAGGCAGGAGCTGATCCAGAGACCAAAAAGGAGTGCTGCTTAATGGCTTGTTCCTTGTGGCTTGCCCAACCTGCTTCCTTTTTTGAATTTTTTTTTCCTTTTACTGAAAATAGATTGTTGGTCATATAATATATCCTGATTATGATTCCCTCACCGTCCGCTCCTCCTAGATCCTCCCCACTTCTCCCATCTAGATCCACCCCCTTCCTACTCCTCGAAGGAAACAGTCTTCTAAAGGAATAATAATAAAATAAAATACGACAAGATAAAATAAGCACTAATATATCGGAATAGGACAAAACAAACAAGATCTTGTCCCGGGCCCATCTCCCCAGTCTTGTTTCCCTGTACCTATTATTCATTTAAATTCTACAGATATGTATCAACCTCTTGCTGTTTCCTACATATGACATAACATTCAGCTATGCTTTTCCCCTCCAATATCTTTTTTTTGTTGGTTTTTGTTGTTGTTGTTGTTGTTGTTTTACTTTTTGAGACAGGTTCTTCTGTGTAGCCCTAGCTGTCCTGGAACTCACTCTGTAGACCAGGCTGGCCTTGAACTTAGAGATCTACTTGCCTCTGCCTTTCAACTGCTGAGATTAAAGACGTGCCACCACCACCCAACTTTCCCCAGTATCTTAAAGATGTCTTACCTTCTTACTTGGTTATAAAATTCTTCTGTTCATTCTTCCCTATTTCTTCCATCCTTATAAGTGCCTTCCTAAGCCCTGCCTCATTTCACATTCTTACCTCATAGCAGAAATGCTATTTCTTATGCACAATACACAAATAAAAATACATCCGTTTCTTTATAGCCCAGTAATCTTTTTAAAATTTTTACTTAGTGTATTGTGTTATGATGTGCTCATGTGGCAGGTACATGCACATGCATGTGGGGGTTAGAAGACAACTTTCAGGAGTTGATTCTTTCCTTCCATTGTGGGTTCTAGGGAGCAAACTCAACTCAAGTCTTGAGGCTTACTCAGCTAGCAATTTTACCTGCTGAGCCATCTTCTAGCCTAGTAAACTTGTTGAGAAATGGAAAATGCCATATTAAAATCTTTAATTCTCCCTTGTAGAGTTTCGTAAATGTTTGTTGTACTACATCTATTTAAGATGGTAGGGAACAATAGTAGATTATGGGCTACAGGGATTTCCACTGTCTGAAAGAACAGTGAACATTTCTATTCCAATTACTTATATCTCTTTATTTTCAGTATCATGCTGTTCTTAGAATTTGGTAATTTATATGGTAGGTCATTTGACTTTTTAGCCCTTGTCAAATGGAATATATATGAGGATATACTGTTAGTGGCCCAAAGTTTCCTATAGTTTCAAGGTATCAAATCAATTTTTACTTGCTAAGCAGCATATGATGGGTATGGAGGTAATTAGGAATCTATAATGAGAAGGGGTTCTTTAAAAGAATAAACTATTTTAACATAACTATAGCTATTTCAGAAAGAAGATAGTAGCTACAAATCATCTAAGTCCCACCAAGGTTCGTTGTTGACACTGAGATCAGTGTGAACTTGCTCTCTGGTACTGTGTAACTCATTCCTGAATTTTAACATAGCTCTAATAACCACTTCCTTTCCATTCTCATTCTCTCTCTCTCTCTCTCTCTCTCTCTCTCTCTCTCTCTCTCTCTCTCTTTTTCTCTCTGTGTGTGTGTGTGTGTGTGTGTATGTGTGTGTGTATGTGTGTGCGTGCCCATTCTCACATACATGCACATATGTTACCACTTTACATTCAGAGTCACACAAATGGAATCATCTATTTCAAATAAGTATAGCAATGATTGTTTGTTGCCAAAGTCTATGAAACTTGATATGCCTGCAACTTTTCTGGAAAATAGAATTATATAAAGGAAGAGACACCTATAAGGCAGTGTAATACTTTATACATATTTTGTCTTATGCTAAACTTGTGGTTTGGAAAAAAAATTACTCTTTTACCGGAAAATTGGGAAATACTGTTTTTTAAATTAACATTTATGGAGCATGTAGATACATGTAGATCAAGTTACCCAACATAATAAAGTAATGTCCTATAACATATTTTTCCATTGAAGAGTGAGAGTATTTGTAGTATTTTCAGTATTTACTTTGTAATTTGTAGCTTAAACCCTGTTTTAGTTTATAAAGAAGTTATAATCAAAGACTGAAGTCATATGTCTTTTGTGACTGTCAAAGCAAACTCGAGGTTCTATGTGACTCTCCTTTATTTTATAGGCCTATGAAGAGTACACCAGCAAGCTAGATGCCCTCCAGCAAAGAGAGCAACAGCTGTTGGAGTCCCTGGGGAATGGAACTGAGTTTTCTGTTTCTAGCTCCGCGTCAATGGACACGGTTACATCCTCCTCTTCTTCTAGCCTTTCAGTGCTACCTTCATCTCTTTCAGTTTTTCAAACTCCCACAGATGGATCACGAAACAACCCCAAGTCACCACAGAAACCTATTGTTAGAGTCTTCCTGCCCAACAAACAGAGGACAGTGGTGAGTCGATATTTACTGTAATAAGTTTGCTGTTTCTTGTGTTGGACATTATTAACACTGAATATTCAGAGCCATGCAAATGGAACCATCCATTTCAAACGAGGATAGAAAAGACATGATTGCTTTGTGCCAAAGTCTGTATAGTTACCAGATTTCTTTCTTTTAAAATTTTATTTACTTGTTTGTTTTTGGTTGGTTGGTTGTTTTTTTGTTTTGTTTTGTTTTGTTGTTATTGTTGTTGGTTGTTTTTTTTTTTTTTTTGAGACATGGTTTCACTATGTAGCCTTGGCTGATCCAGAACACGCTACGTAGATGAGGCTGGCCTCCAACTAACAGAGATCTGTCTGCCTCTGCCTCTCAAGTGCTTGGATTAAAGGTGTGTGGCAGTCCATCAAACTTCATTGGCACTTAAATATAAGTACCGGTTAAGAGTCAGTTAGGAGACTGAAGAGCTGGCTCAGCAGTTAAGAGTACTGACTGCTCTTGCAGAGGACCTGGGTTCAATTACCTGCACTCGTATATTGAACTATAACCATCTGTAATTCCATTTGTGGGGGATTTAATGCCCTCTTCTGGCCTCCAAGGATACCAGGCACATATATGATGCCCTTTCAGACAGACAGGCAAAACACTCAAAAGCATAAAATAAAAATGAATAAATCTTTTTTTAAAGAGGTGATCAGAATTTCATGATTTAAGCTTGTATCAGGTAAGATTCTTTCCTCTGAGTAATCTCCATTTTAAGTTGTCAGAAGTTAACTTTCAGTGCGCTTGATATTTCTGCTCTTGTTTATATAACTTTTTAAAAATTGTTGTTACAAGTATCATTGCCAGGTGATACATGCCTTTAATCCCAGCACCGGAGAGGCAGAGGAAGGCAGATCTCTGAGTTCGAGGCCAGCCTGGTCTACAGAGAGAGTTCCAGGACGGCTCGGGCTACACAGAGAAACCTTGTCTTGAAAAACAAAACAAAACAAAAAAAACCCCACAAAACCAAGTATCATCATTAGAAACAGTGCACCAGCAAGAAACATTTAAAGCAGTAAGATTTCTGATCTGAAGTCTTCAAGTAAAGCAAATATTGTCAGCCTTAATAAATAACATTTCTATAACTTAAGCCAGTAATTTTTTGATGTATATGGTTACTTTTCTGATAAGATACATGCTATTATTTTTTTATGTATATATGTGTGTATGTCTGTGTGTGGGTGTGCACACTTGGAGTATGGGTGCCCACAGAGGGTAGAGAAGGCATTAGATCCCTAGGGACTAAAGTTACTGCTGGGACCTGAACTCTGTCCTCAAGAAGAACAGTTAGTGTTTTTAACCACTGGGCCATCTCTCCAACCTTCTATGGTTGCTTTTAATAAAAAGAGTTAGAAATCAGCTGAAATCAAAGTAGTTTTCCTTTGTTTTCCCTATAAGAGAACAGAAATACAAGGTACAATTGGTGTTTTTCAGTGTTCCAAAATTCCTTTTGACTTTTAAAATATGTAGAATATAGAATTCCTGTGTTAATGATCAGATTGGGAACTAACAGAGTTGCCCACTACCTGCATATGGATTTTGATCTTACTTAGAAAATAGTTTTCAAACACTGTTAATTATCAAGAGTGCATTTGTACGTACTTTCCCTGCCTTTTCTTCCAGGAAGAGGTAAGTGTGATAAAGCAGACTTGGGATTATTTAATTTTTGTACAGAGTAAATTCAATTTATAAAACAGGCTCAGTTTCTTTACCCTTTTCCTTTTTTTTTTTTTTTGTCATACATAGACTAGTTAAAACTAGTTGCTGTTCCCATACTTCCTGAGTAATATCTTTGTGTTGATATCTCCTTAAAGGGGGAACATGATGTAAAATTATTTGTAAATAGAAATTCTATCTCTGAAATAGCCTGTGTTATAAAAAGTTCATGGATACCTATCCCATCTCCATCTCCGTCTTTTAGTTGCCTGTACTTACGAGCAGAATGTGAAAAACTTTGAGGCTGGAGAGATGGCTCCGTAGTTATGAACACTGGCTGCTCTTACATAGAACCCTGGTGCTATTGCCAGCACCCGCATGGCAGCTCACAGCCATCTGTACTCAGTTCCAGGGGATCCAGTGCTCTCTCTGGTGCTGTATGCGTATGATACACAGACATACATGGAGACAAAACACCCATACACACAAAATTTTAAAATGTCTTTTAAAAACAATATGAAAAGAGTTTAGGGTATTGGTTGCACAATGGCATGAATATTAACCTCACTGAGCAGCTAATATTAAAAAATAATTAAGATAGACTTTCTTATGTGTACACTTTAATACATTTTAAAAGGAACAGTATGGTAATTATATGCAAAGTTAAAATACCCCTAGTAAAATGACCCAGCCATTTTACTCTGAAGTGTTTATCTAAGCATGAAAAATAAGGATTTGTAAGTAAATGTTGCTTTGATGTTCTGTTTTTCATACTCCAAATGCTAAATGTCCATCAACAGGTAAACTGTTAAAACTGGTCCCCGGTGCATATGCCTGTAATCCCAGACTTGGGGACACAGAAGCAGGTAGATCAATATAACTTCAAGGTTAACCTGATCTATGTGTGGAGTTGTAGGCTAACTAGAGCTACAGAATGAGACCCTGTCTCAAAAGTAATAAAAGCTAAAAACAGGGGAATTTTAAAAGAAACTGTGGAATATTGTTACAAAGACCATCGTGTTAATAGAAAGGTTACTGATATTCCCATCATCCAACACAGATGAATCCCCAGAAAAGTATGCTGTAGAAAAGAAGGCAGACAAAAATGGATGCATGCTTTGTAATTCCATTTATATGAATTCTAAAATGTACACTTGACCACATGTAGTGGAATGCATATAATCCCAGTACAAAATAATTAGAATATTAAGTACTGTATTGAACTTGTCAGTCCCCGTCCCGTCCCCCTCCTCGCCCCACCCCCCCAGCTGAGGACTGAGCCCAGGGCCTTGTACTTGCTGGACAAGCACTCTACCACTGAGCTAAATCCCCAACCCCGATGTTGTTGTTGTTGTTTTTAACATGGGGTCTCAAAATGATTTTCCTTTATATCCTATGCTGATCTTGAACTTAAGATCTTTCTACCTCTGCTCCTCTCAAGTGCTAGGATTACAGGTATACCCTAGCATGTTTGTTTTTTTGAGACAGGGTTTCCCAGTAACCACCTTGGCTGTCCCGGAACTCACTTTGTAGACCAGATTGGCCTTGAACTCACAGAGATCTGCCTGACTGCTACCTGAGTGCTAGGATTAAAGGTATGGGCCACCATGCCCAGCCTAGATGTCATTCTTAATATAATATACAGGTAGACCATACACATACCAATTAAAGAATATATACTTTTTTCAAGGACAATTAGAGATAGGATCTCTCACTGATCTGGAACTCACCATGTAGGGTAAACTGACTGGCCAGCAAGCCCTAAAGATCCAGTGTTCTTGCCTTCCCCATGCTGGGATTACATGCACATGCCATCACATCTAGCTTATTTGTTTGTTGGTTGAGACAGGGTCTCTGTATAGCCCTGGCTGTCCTGGAACTCACTATGTAGACCAGACTGGCCTCAAACTCAGAGATCCTCCTGCTGCTGCTTCCTGAGTGCTGAGATTAAAAGCATGCGCCATCACTCCTGGCTCACATCTTTTTTACGTGAGCTCTCAAAATTCAACTCAGGTCATCATGCTTATGTGGTAAACACTTTACTAACTGAGCTCTCTTCCCAGCCTTAATTCAGGACTTTAATTCAGGGCAATCTTTCTGCCTCCACCTCCTGAATGTTAATTAGAGTTATAGGCATGAGCCACCATGCCTGGCATTTGTTATCTTCTTATTGCTATGATAGAGACCATGACCAACCTAAGAAGAAAGTAAGCAAGTTTATGCGGCTTACTCTTCCATATCACAGTTGAAGGAAATTAGGGCAGGAACTCAAGGCAGGGATCTGAGGTAGGAACTGAAGCAGGGGCCATGGAGAAACACTGTTTACTTGCTTGCTCCTCATGGCTTCTCAGCCTGCTTTCTTATCCCATCTGGGACCACTTGCCCAATGTAGCTCCACTTCCAGTAAGTTAGGCCCTTCTGTATCAAGCATTAATCAAGAAAATGCCCTCATTTCAAGGCATTTTCCCAGTTAAGATCTTCTCTCCCAGATCGGTCTTTATCAAATTGTCAAGAAACCAACCAGCACACAGTTGAGTCTCTGTTGTTTTTTTAACTGAAAACAATCCTCTTGCTAAAATGACATACTTTGGAGTAGCCTATTCTGATCTGTGTAACCACTTTGTAAAAAAAAAAAACTATAAATATCTATTGTACAGGCAAATCCTACAAAACATTTAAAGAATTGTAAAATACCAGTCATAAACTTTATATCCTGGACCACATGAGAATTTGTCTCAAGAAAAGAAAAACAATAGGTTGTGGGTTTTCCTTTTTAGATATTTAGAAAGTTTTAAATACTTGGGAAAGTGTTAAGAACCATATATTACATAGCTCCTAGTCAGCTACAATGAATAGATTGTTAATATTTGCTTTATATTCTCCACACACAAATTACATTCTCTTATCAATCACATTCTCCTGTTGAACATCCTGTTCCCTACTAAAAATAACCCCTATGATAAATGTGGTGCACATTCAGTCACATTTTATTACGTGTATATCCATGTTAGTATTTTGTTTTTTAATTGATAAAAAAAAAGTAGGATAGTACCATTAAGTATGTAATGTCCAGGATTAAATTCAAAATTTGGATTTCACAGTGTGCATTTTATACATTCATTCGTTCCATTGAATTGTTATCAGCTATTCCATTTTTGCATATCCTTTCTCTGGTATTATTATTATTATTGTCATTATTATTACTGTTATTACAAATAGTGCTAAATGTAAGCACCTTTATATAGGACTAAGAACAATTCCTGGGAACAGAGAATGCATGCGTAGTTCAAAGGTTCTTTTAAATATTATTAATTTGTATATATGAGCCTGATGAGTTTATTGCACCATGTGTATGCTCTGTAGGTAAAGGTGCTTGCTGCAAGTCTAATTTTTGTATTCTCTTGGTAAAAGGAGAGAAGCAACTCCCTAAAGTATTCCTCTGAATTCCACATGTGTACACATACACACCCATACCCACCCACAACACACACCCATGCAAAAATAAAAATGCAAGAAGAAAATAAATGAATATAATTTAAAAATAAAACCATGCCCTATTTGAAAGACTTAAATTCTCACCAGTATAAATAAGTAGGCTTAAAGAAATAGATTGAGAGTAAAAGGATATTATTCAATAGACTAAATGGTACAGCCCCAGGAAATATCCTCCCTCTATATTTTTGGCCACAGTGAAACAAAAACTGAAGGTGTATATTTTTTGTAGGCAGGAAGAATAATATTGGTTTCTCAAAAGTTCTAAACTTTTCTAACAATGAAAGAGCTTCTCTTGTCCTTAGATAAGTTCAACTGATTGACCTATTTTGATTTGATGAGGACCACAATTGAGTAGTAAAAGATACCACCTTTATAAATCCATTCCATTGGCCCTGGTTCTTTACAAGTTAAATTCAATTAATTCTAACATTGTCTTTATTCTGTTAAGTCTTTTGGGGTATAGAAAGAGATTCTCTTCTTGCTTTAATAAGACTATGTTGTAAGCATAGCATATCGCAGTGTTCCTTAAAAACAATGTGATTGGTCTAATAGAGCTGAAAAAGACTCAACATCAAGATTAATTATCATAAAATCAGAAAGCTATGTCTTAGTTAGGGTTATTATTGGTGTGATGAAACACCATGACCAAAAGCAACTTGGAGAGGAAAGAGTTATCTGGCGTAAATTTCCACATCACTGTTCATCATTGAAGGAAGTCAGGAGAGGAACTCAGACAGGGCAGGAACCTGGAGACAGCTGATGCAAAGGCCATGGAGGAGTGCTGCTTACTGACTTGTTCCTCATGACTTGCTCAGTCAGCTTTCTTATAGAACCCAGGACCACCAGCCCAGGGGTGGCACCACCCACAATGGCCTGGGCACTCCCCAGTCAATCACTAATGAAGAAAATGTTCTACAGGCTTACCTGCAATGCTGTATGTATATGTTTATTTATTAAGTGGATGAATGTTCTGTTTTGTGCAAAAGCAGCCGGTGCTCTTAACTGCTAAGCCATCTCTCCAGCCCCTACAGTTTATAGAAGCATTTTTTTTTTCAATTGAGATTCCCTTCTGTCATATGATTATAGCTTGTGTTAGGCTGGCATAAAACTAGCCAGCTATATCTTTAAAGTTGTGTTCAAATCTACATATTATTTTGCATATGTATTCTATGCCAGTTTATTTAAGGGCTAACTGTATCATGTTTATATATACCACAAGCTTGCCTTTACCCTACCAAGCCGACCATGACACATTTGTAATCCAAAATGCTGGGAAGTAGGAAGGACAGGAATGCAGACTAATTCTTGGGTACATAATGAGTTTGAGGCCAGGCTGGACTACATGAAATCTTGTCTTGAAAAGAAAAAAGGGGGAAAAAATGAATTATACTATCAAGGTACTAGCACAAATAGTTCAGTGTATAACATTTTTGATGTCCAACCAAATTTTAAAGTGACTCCTTAAAGTTTTGTAAATAACTTTGCACTATAGAAGAATTTAAACATGTGTAAAGTAATGAATTCTCATGGATAATCAATAATTATTTCAATTTTTTATGATGAAGTTTGAACATTTTGTTTAGGTGTGAATTTTCCTGTGGCAAATAAATATTCAGACGAGTACATATATTGTTATTGGCTCAGTAACATGAACTCATGTCTGACATCCCTATGGTGGAGGCCTGAAGTAAGTGTCCTCAACACACACGTAACGAGTCTTTCTCTGTCATGCCAGCTAGCTCCCAAAAAATGACGGGGAGACTTCTTAACAATGACGAAAGCTCAGCCTATAGCTTAGTACTTCTCCCTATGTTTGCTTTATTCTATCACTAGATATTTTCTCAGTGTTCTAGGAAATATGTAATCAGTTGGCATACTCTTAACTACAGTAAAAACAGGAACATCTCTCAACCAAAGTCCATGTCTCAGTTTAAAGAACCCAGGTATTGTTTAGGAGGTCATATATTTAGTCCTGGACCTGTTAATATCATAAGGGATTAGCACCTAATTAGCACATGTACACCATCTGTTGCCAGAAAAAGTTATTGATAGCCTCAATAGTAATATGAGATTCTAGAGAAGGGCAAGTGTCCAGATAGAGACACTAGAGAACTAAACATCAAGTATCAATCAGATCAGTGTCTGTCTGTGTGTGCCTGCCTGCCTTCCTGACAACCCTTGTCTGTCTGTCTGTCTGTCTCTGGGTGGGTGAGTGATGGTGGTGTATATGCATGTTTATATGCCTGTGAGTGCATGAGCTTGTAGAGACCAAAGATCAATGGGAGGTGTCTTTATTACTGGTTTTTGTTGTTTTTTTGTTTGTTTGTTTTGAGACGGTCTCTCTGTGAACCTAGAACTTACTCCCCTAGATTGGCTAGCCAGTGACACCCCTTCCCCAGAGTCTACACTGGAATTAAAGATGTACACTGCCACATTCAGCTTTTTAGTGGGTACTAAAAACCCAAACGTAGGTCTTCATGCTTGAGCAACAAAAACGTTACCCACTGAGGTACCTCTTCAGCCTCCGCATATATCCTAGCACATATTTTCTTCTGCTTTATTTAGAGTAGTAAGGCATCTCTTAATGATCATTAATATAACTGAAGACTTATACAGCTTTCACATTTGGTCAAAATTTTACAGCTCGATATGGTAGCATCCACCTGTGCTTATGCAGTTGAGAGGCTGACATAGGAAGATCTAGAACTTTAGACTACCCTGGGCTACAACAATCACTGTCTCAAAAACAACAACAAAAATTTTTATTTTACTTTGAGTGTTGACCTCTAAATGTTGTCAGTGGTGGGACCTTTGTATTGGTGTATATAGTGTAGAAAATACTGTTATATTTTCTGTTCATATATATGAATATGTAATTTTTATAAAATACCATTCTTTTTTTTTTTTTTCTCCAGACAGTCTGTAGTCCTGATTGCCCTGAAGCTTGCTATGTAGACCAGGCTGGCCTTGAACTCACAGAAATCCTGCTGACTCTGGCTCCCAAGAGCTAGGATTAAAGTCATGCACCACCACACCCAGCCTTAATTTTTCTTTAAGTTGGTAAAATAATAGTTACTTGATATAATTTCCTTTGACTAATAAGTAAATTATAGGGGGCTGGAGAGATGGCTCAGAGGTTAAGAACACTCACTGGCTGTTCTTCCAGAGGTCCTGAGTTCAATTCCCAGCACCCATATGGTAGCTCACAACCATCTGTAATGAGATCTGGCTCCCTCTTCTGGCCTGCAGGGATACATGCAAACAGAACACTGTATACATAATAAATAAATAACTCTTTTAAAAAAAATAAGTAAATTATAGACATGATATTGTATTTGACTCAAGGAATCCATGCAATATTTTAAAGATGTTATAAGGTAAATGACTGAGTTTTATGAAATTATTTGAAAGAAAACCTTCCCATTGCCTTTTATGCATATTTATGTCATAGGTACCCGCAAGATGTGGCGTTACAGTCCGAGACAGTCTAAAGAAAGCGCTGATGATGAGAGGTCTTATCCCAGAATGCTGTGCTGTTTACAGAATTCAGGATGGGTATGGTTTGTATGTGTTGTGTGATTTTCTTTGAAAAGAAATGAGACATAAAGCTTTGAGTTTGTTTTGTAGTCTTTATCCAAATTTAGGGAATTGAAAATCAACCTCAGAGACTGGAGAGATGGCTCAGTGAGAGCACTGGCTGTTCTTCCAAAGGACCTGGGTTCAGTTTTCAGCACCCACATGACAGCTCACAGCCATCTGTAACTCCGGTTCCAAGGAATCTAAAACCTTGTGGTCTCCTCAGGCACGCAGGCAAAATGCTCCTACACAATAGGAAGGAAAGAAGGAAGGAAGGAGGGAGGGAGGATGGATGGAAGGAAGAAAGGAAATATTTTTTACCAAAAGATTTAGAACATCAACTTAAAAAAATGTGCTAATACTACTCTTGAAGAAATCTTGAAGGCTGTTGGTAATTTATGTGGTTATACTGTTTATTCCTGTGGCAAATAAATGCCTTTATTAGAGTTTATAATTTTTGTAATTGGTGAACCATTAGAACAGTGCTTCTCAACCTGTGGGTCGCAATCCCTTCAGAGAGTCTAAACGGCCCTTTTACAGGGTCACCTAAGACCATCAGAAAACACAGATGTTTACATTACAGTTCATAACAGTAACAAAATTAAAGTTACGAAGTAGCATTGAAAATAATTTATGGTTGGGGGTCACCACCACAAGAGGAACTGTATTAAAGGGTTGCAGCATTAGGAAGGTTGAGAACCACTGCTTGAGAATGTGATTAGTTTAGATAATGTGCCTTTGTATAGTCCTCCTTTTTAAATACAAGCTCATAGTTCCACAAAAAGTCTACCAAAAGTAACATTTTTATATTGAAGTATTTTTCATAAATAATATTGTTCCAAGATGTTTATGTTTTGAATCTACATTTTGAGGCATGTTGTTCCTTGAATGCTCTTTTTCTCTGAATTGGTAGATAAGTCCATACCTGTGTGTTTTGGGGGTGCTTTTTTGTTTGTTTGTTTGTTTGTTTTAGTTTTTCAAAACAGGCTTTCTCTGTATAGCCTTAGCTGTTCTTGGCTGTCCTGGAACTCGCTCTGTAGGCTAGGCTTAAAGACATCCGCCTGCCTCTGCCTCCCTAGTATTGGGATTAAAGGCGTGCGCCACCACTGCCCAGCTTTGTTTTTTAAACCCCAGATACAATCTGGGTTTGACTGCTGTACGTTTTTTTCTGGAACTGACTTAAAAATGAATATATTTACACTGCTCTTTGTCTAAGAGTAATACACTTATTAGAATTAAACTTAAAATTTAAGATTTTTGGGGTTTTGTTTGGTTGTTTGTTTTGTTTTGTTTTGTTTTTTTGTTTTTCAAGACAGAGTTTCTCTGTGTAGCTTTTATGCCTGTCCTGGATCTTGCTCTGTAGACCAGAGCTGGCCTTGAACTCATAGATATCCACCTGGCTCTACCTCCTGAGTGCTGGGATTAAAGGCATGCGCCACTGCCTCCCGGCTAAAATTAAGAAATTTTTAGGGCTGGAGAGATGGCTCAGCGGTTAAGAGCACTGGCTGCTCTTCCGAAGGTCCTGAGTTCAATTCCCAGCAACCACATGGTGGCTCACAACCATCTGTAATGAGATCTGGCGCCCTCTTCTGGCCTGCAGGAATATGTGCAGGCAGAACACTGTATACACAATAAATAAATCTAAAAAAAAAAAAAAAAGAAAGAAATTTTTAATGATGGAAAACCAGATATTCAAACCTCCTTATTATTAGCTCCTCCATAACCATGTTTATGTCTTCAGCATGCTGTTTATAAATATTTTGGGTTACAGTAACCAAGAAAGGGCTGGAGAGATGGCTCAGCAGTTAAGAGCACTGGCTGCTCTTCCAGAGGTCCTGAGTTCAATTCCCAGCAACCACATGGTGGTACACAACCATCTATAGTGAGGTCTGATGCCCTCTTCTGACATAAAGTTGTGCATGAAGATAGAACACTCATATACATAAAATAAATAAATCTTTTTTTAAAAAAATCAAGAAAGGTTTTGCTTACATTTTTTTCAGAGAGAAGAAACCAATTGGCTGGGACACTGATATTTCCTGGCTTACTGGAGAGGAGTTGCATGTAGAAGTACTGGAGAATGTTCCACTTACAACACACAACTTTGTATGTATCTTTACATATTTGAACTGTCAAAAAATGGTCAGTTTCTTTTGACTGTTTTTAAATTTAGGGAATATGAAATAGAGATAAGTAATTTTGTGATTAATAATTTACCTAAGTTCTGTTCTTTAAAATCTTGTGTTTAAAAAATTTTATTTTAATATTTATTCTTTCTTTGTAACTTAATAAACATGTAACATGTCTCTTTAAAAGAACAAAAATTAGGGGCTGGAGAAATGTCTCAGTGGTTAAGAGTACTGGCTGCTCTTCCAGAGGACCCAGGTTCAACTCCCAGCACCCACGTGTAGCTCACAACTGTCTGTAATTCCAGTTCCAGGGGATCTGACACCCTTATACAGATATACATGCAGGCAAAACACCAATGTACATAAAATTAAAATAAAATAAGTAATTAAAAAAGGAAAAAAAATTAGTATGATGTAAAAGTCTATCTAGTAAAGTGAAATTTTCCTAGAAGTCAGCATTTGTATAGATGAGTAGGTAATTGTATGGTTTTCTGTATACACAAATGCATGGTGGTCAGCCCAAAGTTTACTTGTTTTCTCTTCATTACATCCTATTCTTTCTTTCTTAAGGGAAAACTAGGCTCATGCTGTGTGATGGTCCTTATTTTTAATTTTCTCATCAGTAGGACTTGTGAATGTCAATTTTTTTTAGTTACACCTAGCATTATTCTTGTATTGATTGCCTAGTAGCCTATAAAAATAGAAATTTGGCGCCTTTCCTCTATTTATAGAAATATAAATTTTTATATTTATAAAATACTATGTGCTAAGTTAGACTGCCTATATCTCGACACACACGTTTGTATTGAACTCTCCTTGAGACTTTTCCTTTTGTTTTTTGTGTTTGGTAAAACCTAGCTTAAGCTTGTTACTAGCATGCAACAGCCTCCTAATCACCGCTCATTTACCATCCATCTTTAGATATGCTTAGATTCTAGACTGAGCATAAACAATGTCCCTGAAGAAATAATAGATCTTTTTAGGTTTACCTTTATTCATAAAAGTATCTTTGCAGACATAGGGTTTTCTTAAAATTCATACTCAAATGCATATCCACTTATTTTTACTCCTTCAGAGGTTCTGCTCTCTTCTCTATTTCCCTTCCTCCCCCCACCCCCACATGTGTGTCGATGATTGTGTATATAAAACCAACCACATATACATAGTTTGAATATGTATAAACAGCAGGAAGAACGCACTAGGTAGGCAAATGAAGGCTGTTCAGGAATTCATGATACAACAAACTATCAGTGAGTAAGGATTTGAGTAGTTGGCTAAAAGGTCAGATTTTGTGTGTGTGTGTGTGTGTGTGTGTGTGTGTGTGTGTGTGTGTGTGTGTCTGTGTACTTTGTTTTCTGAAATAATGGCAGCATCACTAAAGATGCTTACTTTGGCAATTATTCACTTTATAAATAAATATCAAAGGAGGTGTTTTTCACTTCTGTATAATCACAGGCAAATGGAAAAGGAGGAAAGCTAGAAACAACTTTCACTTTTTTCACATGCTTTCTCAGGTGATAGAGAGACTAAAGAAAACAGACCTCACTATATAAAGGTTTTTGAAAGGCCAGAGTGGATTATGTGCCATTCTATAATTTTGAGTAACTGTTCATTAAATAAATATTTTTTGAAAATAGAGTTTTGAGCTGGGCATGGTGGCACACACCTTTAATCCTATCACAGGGAGACAGAGACAGGCAGATCACTGGGAATTCAGAGACAGCCTGGTCTACATAGTAAGGCCCTGTCTCAAAAAAGAAAGTTTCAGAGCAGATGTGGTTTTCCATACCTGGAATCCTGGTACATGGGAGGCAGAAGCAAGAGGCTGATTGGAAAGTTCAAGATCATCTTCTATCACGAAAACCATTTAAACAGAGAGAAGGTAATTTGGTGTTAAAATCAAATGTATCATAGATGTATCACTTATATGTAATAAAGTATATAAAATTCTAAGTTATGTTTCAGGTAACTACTGCCATAGGTTTATGTATATACTGGATCATGATATAAAATAAACTATATTTATTACTTACTGATTATGGTTTTTTAAAAGTGAAAACCTAGATGATTGAAAATACACAACCAAGAATGAAGTCATCCTTACTATCAACATTCTGAAATAGTCATTAAGAGCTTTTCTGTTACATAATTTTCTGCCTATTACCTACTATGGCACATAAATAGTTTATATAATTTCTCCCTTTGGGAAGAAAGATCCCCTTAGTATAGTGCTGTTTCTTTGATACCTGTTGTACATTAAAAGTCACTGATAATTATTTCAAGGTTTTTTGAACATTTATTTATTTTGTTATATGAAGAAGTTCATCTGAAAGCATAGACTAAAAATAAGTCCTCATCAGACATTCTTCCAGAGGTGTCTTAAGAATATGTTAAAGTTTAAGGGGAGAGGTTTCCTTTCTTACTATTGAAATTTCAGAGCTAAACTTGAAAAGTTGCTGAATTCAACAATAGTATCTCCTGTGTTGCAAACAATTCAGTTCATAATTCTGTTGTCAGATAAAATAATTCCCATTACACCTTAATAAAATTACAGTGTTGATTTCATGAAGCCACTGATAATTTTTAATAGTTTCTATTTTAAGCTCTTGGGTAATTGTTTTTATATTACTAAATATCTTTTAGCCACAGTTTCTTGCTTTATCAACTTTAGACATCATATGCTGGTTGCTGATTTTATTAGGATTAGCTCATTTGAAGCATTATGACCCTCTCTCCTCTCTTCCATCTTGTTGTTCTGTTTGATAACTATGAAAGTTTAAATAAGTGTATCTTTGTTTCTTGTGCTGGTAGCTCTGGCAACTGTTTTTCTTACTTTGCCTCTTAATGCATTAATTAAATGATACCTTGGGTTTTTCTTCCTCTTTTTTTTTTTCTACTTTTTAATGTTGTCAAGCTTGAAATCAGTTATTCTTTTTAAATCAGTTTTTAAATTTTTTTTGAGAATTTCATACATGAGTCTCTTTAAATGTTGCTTGTTGACCTCTTGGGATTGGATAACACATCAGGAGGCTCAGTTCTTGTATTTGTTGTATCATCTTGACTTCTGAGTTTTTAAGTTGGATATTAGGATGAAATAGTATTTCAACTCCCCTGGTTTTTAATATTATATTTGGTATGTGACTTTATATGCTATAATTATATTTAAAAATTGTTACTTTAAGTAAGAGAGTGAATGTGTTGGTTTATAAAAGGATTCTTGCAAGTATTTGAAACCCTTTATGATTTTTCACTTTGCAGGTACGGAAAACTTTTTTCACCTTAGCATTTTGTGACTTTTGTCGAAAGCTGCTTTTCCAGGGTTTCCGCTGTCAAACATGTGGTTATAAGTTTCACCAGCGTTGTAGTACAGAGGTTCCACTGATGTGTGTTAATTATGACCAGCTTGAGTAAGTAATCCACAAAGAACCTCTTTGCTACTACTTTATAGTTAAATTTTCATAATGTGACACTAGTATACTGTGAAAGCCAGTGAGGGATGTTCCGCCCGATGCACTTGTTACAGAACATTTAAAGTCTGATCGGGAAGTAACACATAGTGCAGGTGGCTCTTCTCTCCCAGATAAAGGAACACTGAGTCCACTGCACATAAAGTTTACATTTCATGCTCTCTTCCTTAGAAAACCACTTGTATATGGTTTGGAGATGGATATAGAACAGTGTTTGAATTAAGAACAGTGAGTCTGATTTTGTGATCTATTTTACTAATTATGTTGGTATTCTTTCCGCACGCTTCACCTCACCCATGTCTGTCTGTTTCACCTTTGGCCCTTTTCCTTTTATTTAAAGGAATAATTATATACAATTTATTTCTTTCTAATATTTCTTTTTTCTTTATTCTATAGTATCTCTAATAGACTAGATGTACTCTATTGTAATCTTTTTCTGTAATTCTTTTTGTTGCTGCTGAAATGGAATTTGACTTTTAAGTAAATTATAATGATATATCCAACTTAGCAGCTACTTAGGAGGCAGAAGCCTCTGTAAGTTCGGGGCCAGCTTGGTCTACACAATGAGTCAGGGCTACGCAGTGAATCTGTCAAAGAAAAAAAAACAAAAAGGGTACTCTAACTTACCACTAGATATTTTCCTTTTAGTTTTTGAACCACAAAGCATGATTTTCCCCCTGTAATATATAGAAATTGATTGAAAAGAACAATTAGTTTTAGATCTCAGCTTGCCCTTGAAAGTACAGTGTAATTTGTTGCCAGGCGGTGGTGGCGCACGCCTTTAATCCCAGCACTCGGGAGGCAGAGGCAGGTGGATCTCTGTGAGTTCGAGGCCAACCTGGGCTACAGAGTGAGTTTCAGGAAAGGCGCAAAGCTACACAGAGAAACCCTGTCTCAAAAAAACCAAAACAAACAAACAAAAAATGTAATTTGCTAAAGAAACCTTTAGACAAAAATATACTTAATTGAATTTTAACAGTTGTTTGCAAAAGTAGAACTTGATTTCTCGTATTTTTCCGTTACCTCTGTGTTCTCGTGCATTGAAGCTTCTGGGTTTTGCACAAGTTAGGTTTGTTTTGTTTTGTTTTGTTTTTGCCTCACAGTTTGCTGTTTGTCTCCAAGTTCTTTGAGCATCACCCAGTACCACAGGAGGAGGCCTCCTTAGCAGAGACTGCCCTTACATCTGGATCCCCTTCTGCACCCCCCTCAGACTCTCTTGGGTATGATTTGATTCCTGCTGTTTAATGACATGCTATTTGCACTGCCTTCCTGTGGATCTTTTGGATAATTGTAAACCTTTCCAACATTGGAGCTGTTAAATTATGGATATTTTCCCCCCAATAATGTATTTTATCACAGCATTCAAGCATTCACATGCATTTGTACAGAATGGGATAAAAAGTCTGGTATGGTGGTTACACCTTTAATCTCAGCACTCGTGAGGCAGAAGCAGGCAGATCTCTGTGAGTTGGAGGCTGGCCTGGTCTACACAGTAAGTTATTACCTTGAAAAAACAAAAACACACACAATCAATCAATCACTGGGATTAAAGCTGGTGTAGACTATATTTTAAGATCAGCTGTCAAAAAAAGCAACATAAAATTTTTTGTTTTGTTTTGTTTTTGGAGCTGAGGATCAAACCCAGGGCCTTGCAAGTGCTCTACCACTGAGCTAAATCCTCAACCCTGCAACATAAAATTTTTACACTCTTTTATTTACCATTTTATCAAATAATGTTATGACTTCTACTTAAAAAAATTAACAGAGCCAGGCGGTGGTGGCGCATGCCTTTAATCCCAGCACTTGGGAGGCAGAGCCAGGTGAGTTCGAGGCCAGCCTGGGCTACCAAGTGGGTTCCAGGAAAGGCACAAAGCTACATAGAGAAACCCTGTCTCGAAAAAAACCAAAAAAAAAAAAAAAAAAAAAAAAAAAAAAAAAAAAAAAAATTAACAGAGAAGTTGATGACAATTTTTTTAAAAGTACAAATCATAATAGAGTATTATTAAACTTTGTGATAAAATAAAATATTTTATATTTATAGAATGCAAGAAAATATAATGTACTTGAGAATGTGTAATGGAGATGAGATTTGAACTTATCTTTAAAAAATTACTAGAGTTCGAGGCCAGCCTGGTCTACAGAGCGAGATCCAGGAAAGGCGCAAAGCTCCACAGAGAAACCCTGTCTCGAAAAACCAAAAAAAAAAAAAAAAAAATACTAGAAGCTGAGTGAACTTAGGGTATCAAAGCCAGTATTAGGGTCCAGAGAAGAAAGCAGGTTTCAGCGCCAGTCAGAAAGCTTTTCTAAATTCAGAAGTAGCATTTGTGAGCCTGATGGGATGCACACTTCTAGAAGCTCAGCACTTAGTAGGCTGAAGCAGAAATAAAAACTGGAAGAGGAAAAATGCCATGTGTGTGACCAAGTAGTAAAGAATCTTGACATTTAGGCTGGTATTTACTTGAAATATGATGACATGGGAGAATAAAGGTTTTCAAACAAGTTACCAATGTGATAAAAATTATTTTAAAGGGAAAAATCACTTAACAGTGAAATACAGACAGGGAAAAATAGGGTGAAGAAGACGACCTAAGCTGCAGGGAAAGCAATATGCAGAAAGGAAGGATATTCCTAAAGGACAAAAAAAAGTAGTAAGATACTATCAGTTTAGGAGGAAAAGCAAGAATTTACTGTAAAAGTATCTCCAAGGCATTATATTCATAGTAAGAAAAGAGACGATATTTTAAGTTGGCTCTTAAATATTTTTTGCATAGGTCTATTACTCTTTTCTCATTGTAATTGAGGCAAGATTATTTATGCCATGTCTGGAAGTATATAATTTTTAAAAAGGACATTTCCAGATAGCATCCTGGCTTAGAATGTTTCAGAAGTGTTCAATTCGTAAGTATTTGTTTTAATTTTACCTGCTTCCTCCTATTCTTCACAGTACGTTATTTCTTTGGACCTTAAAAAAACTATTTATGTATTGTGTGAGTGGTGATATGTAGGTGTTTGTGTAAGTGTGAAATGCCATGGTCCTTGTATAGAAGTCAAGGGACAGCTTTCTGGAGTCAGTTCTCTCCTTCCACTGTGAAACCAGGGATCAAACTGAGGTGCTTAGGCTAGGACAGGCATTTACACACACAGCCACCTGTCCGGCTCATACTTCTTTATAGACTTATACCAGAAGGAATGATAACTATAAGTTGATACTTTTAATAGGTCTGCAATTTTTATGAAGCCAGTCTTCCTAAGGTCTCATGGGTTACAAAAAATTAACAAAATAAATTTCTATTTCCAGGAGTAGTGGCTCATTTCTATAATCTCAGTACTTGGGAGGCTGAGACAAGAGGATTGCCATGAATTTGAGGTCAGCCTAGGCTAGAGCAAGACCTTATCTCAAAAATAAATTGGAAGATAAGTATGCAGCTCAGTCAATAGAGTGCTTGCCTAGCATGCACAAAGCCTTGAATTTTATTCTCAGCATCACATATACTAGACATGCTGGTTAACTCTAATCCCAGTACTTGAGGATAGAAGAAGGAGAATCAGAAGTTCAAGATCATTCTCAGGAAGTGTTAGGCAGCCAAAGACACATGAGACCCTATTTTTAAAAGAGAGGGAAGGAGGCAGGCTAGAAAGTTGGCTCAGCAGCTAAGCTGTGCAAGAATGAATAACAGAGTTCAGATCTTAGCACCGTCGTAACAGCCCAGGCATGTTTCCATGCACACCTGTGAGGCTAGCAGCAAAGGGGTAGAAACAGGAGCATTGCTGTGACTAGCTGTCTTGCAGTCTAGTTGAAAGGGTTCAAGTTCCAGGTCAAGGAGAGACCCTTCTGTAAATAAGGCGGAAAGTAATAGAGAAGGCCACCTGATGACCTCCTTTGGGTTCTGGCATGGGTATACCTCTCCCTGCACCACCACCCCCATACACACACACACACACACACACACACACACACACACACACACACACACACAGAATTGGGGATGTGTGTGAGATGAGATAGCTCCTCAATAGGTAAAGTGCTTGCCATAAAAGCATGACTATGTAAATTTGACAAAGGCCAAATGTGGTGGTAATCCCAGCATTCCTAGACCAGGATGGGAGATAGAAGCAAGAATATCAGCAGAAGTCTATACAGCACAGCAGTAACAAGAGACCTTGCCTCAAAAATAGGAAGAGAACTTGCTCCAAAGACATTCTTACCTCCATGTGTGCTCCATGGGATGTGCACACCTGCAAACACACACACAATAATAATAAGTTTTAAAAATAAAAGTTTTATTTTAAATAGTGAATATATTTTTATATCACTAGGAAATGCAACCACTATGTAGTTTTGTCAGATAGTTAACAGTTATCTCTGGCTCTGTTATTAGTTGTATGTTTTTATAAATGATAGAATCAAAATGTTGTTGTGATTTTAATTAATCCTTTGGCTATGGCAATTTCTCCTGACAGAGTCTATAGACCTGTGATGCTTTTCTAATGGTAGGTCCCAGTTCTGTGAGCAGAGTTGTAGAACATAATGAAATGAGCTTGGCCTCTCTGAAGGGTCATAATGGTAACAATACAGTTTGTCTTCCAGTACAGGAATGCTGTTTTAAAACTGAGAAAACATTTGCCTCTGCCACATGTATTTTTTTTCTTGACTAGAGTGAAATGGATTCTGGTCTTGAAAAATGTGCAAACTTCTCTACAAGTTAATCTCCTAATGCTTTTATGTCAGTGTGTAAAATTACCTTTGTAATAGAAGCCAGTTGTATTTAGTCAGGGTTCTCTAGGGGAACAGAACTTATAAAATGAACTTAGAGTATGTGTGTATGTGTGTCTACATATCTATATCTAGATAGAAATATGTTTATAGATTTTGTGTATTTTTATATGAATTTATTAGAATGGCTTATAGGCTGTGGTCCAGCCAGTCCAACAATGACTGTCCACTAATGGAAGGTCCAACAGTCAGTGGTTGTTCAGTCTGGGTTTCTCAGTTGGTCTTCACTGTGTGCCCGAGTCCTGAAGTAGTCGCTAATGCCCATGAAGAAATGTACTTGCTAATGAGAGCAGGAGCAGGCAAAGAGCAAGCAGCAGACTTCCTTCTTCTGTGTCCTTGTATATAGGCTGCCAGCAGATGGTGCGGCCCAGATTCTAGGTAGATCTAGCTACATCAAAAGATCTGGATTAAAGGTGGGTCTTCCTACCTCAAAGATCCAGATTAGAAGTGGATCTTCCCACTTCAAAGCGTGTAATTAAGAAAACAATCCCACATAGGTGTGTCCAGATGCTTGCGTTTTAGTTAATTCCAGATGTAGTCAAGTTGACAGTCAAGAATAGCCATCATGTCAATTATGTTCTGTATTACAATATTGCATTTGTTACTAGTCCTGACAACAATTATAATGGTCCCGAAACAAGTATGGGTATAACAAGAAATTTTGAAAAATTAATATATTGCCTAGTGTAGAATACAAAGTAAGTGATAATTGCTTCCTTTTTTGTATATCAGTGAACAGAAACAGTCACTTTGTTTGCTTCAAAAAATTTTAAATAGTTTAGCCTAAAACTGAAATCTTAAACTATTAGTAATTTGCTAGGGATGTCTTTTTGTATGCTGTGAATGTAGTGTTCTGATTGGTTGATAAATAAAACACTGATTGGCCAGTAGCCAGGCAGGAAGTATAGTATAGGCGGGATAAGCAGAGAGGAGAATGTTGGGAACAGGAAGGCTGAGTCAGGAGTCTCCAGCCAGACACAGAGGAAGCAAGATGTCAAGGCAGAACTGAGAAAAGGTACTAAGCCACATGGCTAAACATAAATAAGAATTATGGATTAATTTAGGTGTAAGAGCTAGTCAGTAATATGATTGAGCTAATGGCCATAAGTTCGTAAATAATATAAGCTTCTATGTGTTTACTTGGGTCCGAGCGGCTGTGGGACTGGCGGGTAAGATAGCTTTGACCTGATCACCGGCAGGCCGGGACACAAGAAATCTTCTAGCTACAGTAACTTTCTAAGGAGTGTTAGAATTAAAAGGCTGTTTATTTTTAATTTTAAAAAGGATTGTGGAAGGGTCAGTAAAAAGATATGCCACTGGGAGAAAGTCATCTAGAGGCTGGCCAAGTCCTCCATAGATGTTATCAATTACCTTGCTCCAAGGAAGATGCCACAGCATGCAGTTTTCTGAAAACGATGAGAGTTGGGAATATACTAGCTTAAATTAAACAAAATCAAAACAGACTAAATGAGAACATACCTGTTACCTAAACCAGACTTGTGGTGGGTGGGCCCACACTCTTTTTGGGAAGATATTCATGAGAAGCCAAATTATTATTAGATTTTCTTTTGTTAAGCATTGAATTAAGACTTTGTGTACATATTTGAATACATTGGAGTATGGTAATGAAATATTTTCCATAATTATCATATACTTGCCTTCAAGGCTAGACAAGTTAACTTTGAACCAAGGCACACCTTCACCCTCCAGATGGTATTAGTATATCACATTGATTTTATGTAACAAGCCTCATCTTTTACCAGATTAAATGCAGGGTTTTGTTTCTCCTTGTTTCTGGATCACTGTCCAGAGTTCTGGCTTGTTATTCAGTTCATATTTCTGTCATAGTCTTAACTCAGTAAATTTCAGGAAAGATTTATTGCCTGGCTACCTGTTCTAGGTCACATTTTATATTGATTATACTATTCTATGGAGTTCTGGTTAATTCAGGGTTTTCCGGTTTTTAGTCCTGAGTTAAGGGGTTCTATTGTTCTAAGACTACAAGTAGCTTATCAGTTTGTACTTCATAATACTTTATTAACTAGTAGCATTTAACTGTTCAAAAATTCCTTAGCAAAGGCCATGTTTAGCTTTATAAAGCAAGAATAAGGACAGCTTTTGACACAAACTGAGAGTTTCTTGATAGCCAGAAAACATAAAGGATACAGATGAAACATGGTAACTTTCCCAAAATCCAATTCCGTTAATTGTAATTGGGTTTATGCTCATTCTTTTAGTGAATAATGTTTTTGCTGTTCATTTCTAAACACTCATGTAGTTAATATGAATCTCTTAAAGTGTTTTCCTTTATCCTTATGACCTTGTGCTCCAGATTCTGATGACATGCTTTATTCAGATTCTTTTTTTCCCCACCCTTAACCTTTACTCCTCAAATTTTCATTCTATCCTTTGCTATTACTTCTTTTTTTTTTAAGATTTATATATTTATTATGTATACAGTTTTCTGTCTGCATGTATGCCTCCACGCCAGAAGAGGGCATCAGATCTCATTATAGATGGTTGTGAGGCAGCTATGTGGTTGCTGGGAATTGAACTCATGACCTGGAAGAACAGCCTGTGCTTGTATCCTCTGAGCCATCCCTCCAGCCCTACTTTTTTCTTAAAATTTTTATTGTATTTATTTAGTATGTGTGGGTGCACATGCACACGCTCTGAGGCACGCACGAGTGTGGAAGTCAGAAGACAGCTTTGGAGAATTAGGTCTCCTTCCACTGTGTAGGTCCCAGGGATCAAACCCACATCATTAGACTTAGGAGCAAGCACCTTTTTATCCACTGAGTGATCTCACTGGCCTCTCCTTTTATATTTTCTTACCATTCTTTTCTAAGTCCCCTTATTTACTGTCTTTTTGTTATCTCAACATTATTTTTCTAGTCTAATAACAAATAAAGCTGGTTAGTTTTTATAATATGGGGTAAAATGATGACCCGGTTGAATTTAGTCAGAGCCTCACTGTATCCTCTCCCAAGTAGTAATCACTTCCCTACTCCTGAGGATCTTTTCTGAGGGGTCTAGAGTCTTTATAAGTCTATATACTCTAGTTTCAAATTTTTAGTGTGCTTCATGCCAGGCTCTTTTAGGCCAGCCATCATAGATTCTATTATCTATGGAAAAAAAATAGGTCACTCTGTGGCCTATTAGAGTATTTTAATCAAAATAATTTTAGGATGGGAAGGCTGCTCAGAAGCCGAAGTGCTTGCCATGCAAGCTTGAGGACGTGAGTTTGGGCTCCAGTGCCCACTTAGAGAGCTGGGCTGCGCTGTCTGAACCCATGACCCCAGTGCTCGGAAGACAGAGACAAGAAGATTTTTGGAGTTTCCTGGCCAGCCAGTCGAACCAATTGTAAATTCTGGGTTCAATGAAAAGACCTTGCCTCAAAAAATTAGGTGGAAAAGAAGACACCTGACACCAGTCTCTGGCTTCTCTGTGCACCTCCAAACTACACATCTCAAATTTTTTATTTTAATATTTGCTTCAGTGTTTAATATTATATGATCATTTTGTCTCTGGTGTTAATGATGAGACATGAAAAACATTTTGAATATGAAAAATAATTGGCATCATACCATATTATCTTGCGAAATTTTGAAAATGATCTTTTGATATTGTAGAAATTTTAATTAAAACACTGGCATTAAGCAGCAGTTATGTATTTGGGGTCCTGAAATATATAGGTATATTCTCAACACTATTTGTAACTTCCTAAGTACTTCCTAAAATTTTTCACATGAGTAACTTCAGATTATGAGAAGTAGTATATAAGAAACATAAGAGTATTTTATTCAGCTAGTCTCTACCTGGAGCATTTTATTTCTATATATGATTTTAAAGGACAAGAGCTGCTTCTGCTGATTAACCACAGGTAATTTCTAGCTGTTCATAGATTCTGCTGGAGTTTTCTGGATCAGAATCATTGTTCTTCTATCATTGATAGGCCCTGGAAGGTCTGCTTTTGAGCAGAGCTTCGGCAGTATTAGTTGTAGTTACATTTTTTTAAACTAATGCTTGTAATAGCCATTACTATTGGAATTTTGGTTCTTTAGAGATTATCGTATTAAATACAAAAATCTTGTAACTTTCATTTTAAGTATTATTATCTATACAATTGCTCCAAATCTTATTTTCCGGTGACTTGATTTTTCCAGGCCCCAAATCCTCACCAGTCCATCTCCTTCAAAATCCATTCCAATCCCACAGCCCTTCCGCCCAGCAGATGAAGACCATCGGAATCAGTTTGGGCAGCGAGACCGGTCCTCCTCAGCTCCCAACGTACATATAAACACAATCGAACCTGTCAATATTGATGTAAGTACTAGCACTACTAGAACTAAACAACTCAGGTGTGCTTTTTGTTTTTAAGTTAAAATGATTTGAATATAAGAATTAATAGAAGCCCTTCAGTGAATTTATGAAGTCCTCTCTAGGATTTTTGTGCAATTATTACTGTGTTATAAAAATGACATTAAGAATTTTTATTTTTCTGTCATGAGTTTGGCATTATAACCAACAAAAGCAATTCTTCATTCATATTTTAAATCATATAGTTAAAACTATAACTTAAATTTTATTAACTGAAATACTTTATTATAAATTTTAATTTAATTATCAAGATAAATCACAAGTAAAGGATTCTAAAATCAGACTTTCTTCCTACTTTTTATTATGTTTTTTTCCCCTGTATTTTGGGGAGAGTAAGTTCACTTACGTGGCTTTTTCCTAGTGCCATTTTTAACTAAGGCCATCCTGTCTCTATGTAAACCTGAATACACAGGAAGTGAGAAGTAGGAGAGGGAGATAGGGAATAGGAACTTGAGAAATAAGGAGTCAAAGTGTATTTGTAGGTTAGGCGTGTTCTTGGTGTGTTCAATAATCTTCATATGTATCTGGAAATTTTTTTTCTTTTTACGGCTTTCCTTTTTTTCTGATTGTGATTGTCCTCCTGGTTTCTTGGCCTTGGCTATTTGAAGAATCACTTTATGTCTTAGTCTTTCATCCTTTTCGTAACTGCCGTAACAAAACACGTTTTCCTCTTTATGTATGTCTCACACTGTTCTGACGTATTAATACCACCATTTGACTGCATCATCCTTCGTTTGAACAGTTCCCTGCATTTGTTCCTACCATTAGTTTTTCTTCATCCATTTCCATCCTGGTGAGAGCACCAGGATGGTTTTTAATGACACTTTTATCATCCGTTCCCTTGTTTAAAAGCTTTCAGTAACTTAAAATTTTTATTTAAGCTCAGTCACTTATTATCTGAGAAAAAAAGATTTACCTTTGACTCTGGGCTCAGCAATTAGGGATTTAGGATGATTTAACACACCATCTTTGTCCTCTATGATGTCACAGTTTAGTGCATGAATCAGACATGCAATAATCACAAAAATATATAATGTTAGTTCACAGAAAGGGTGTGATGAGCTCTACCTCGTTAGATGTAAGAATATATTTAGCTGCAAAGGGACGACCTTGAAGCTATACTATAGAAGGTAAATGCTAGAGATTTATTACGGTCACTATATAGGGTTATTTTTTTAAAGGTATTTGTTAAGGAAATAGTATATACAAGGTTGTAGAGTTGCCTTTACATGGAAGGAATTAATAGTTATTATCATAGGAGTCCAGGGTTCAGGAAAGGGCTGACAAATGGTGGAAGGAGACAGTAGGAAATGTCAACACCGACTGATTTCGTACATGACTCTAAAATAGTGGTAGGAGTTCTGAAACACATTGGGAGGGGGACTACAACTCATTCTGTAGCCCGAAGTGGTCTTGAACTTGCTTTCTACCTCATGTCTTTGAGTATTAGGTTTGGGAGTAGAGACTGGTGGTAGGGTTCTTAGAAGTCATGGAAATGGCTGAGTACTTACTATGTGTCAAGTACTATGCCAAGTGTTTTAAATAAGCTTTCCTGGTCAAGGCTCATAAGAAATATATTATCTTTATCTCATTTTGAAGGATATTCAGTTTATAAGAGTCTAAGAAATCAACCCATGATCACATAGCTAATAAATGACTGAAATGGACTTAGGTCATTTAAACCTGACTTTCTTTTCTTATAGTTATCCACTATATATCAGTAAAGAAGAGAGGCAGAAGACAACAGTTGACTTTCTAGCATATAGATACTTGGCTATAAACCAGGACAGGGTTTATAGAAACCTATAGAAAAATTAGTTTTGTATTTTACCCAGAGTGACTTTAGGATATCTGTGGGAATATTATGACCTCAAATGGAGATATAACTTGACAGTGTGTCTGTTAATCAGAGCCATAAGTATAAATTACATTACTCAAAGAGTATATAAAATTGGGAAGAGTAGAAAATACAAACCTGAAGATAAAAAAAAGAAAGAAAACATAGCCTGGTGAATCTTAACATTGTAGCAGAGACCATTTCTCAGTTACCTTTATGAGCTCTTTGCAAGTGTACTACAGAGACCAAGCAAATGCACTTCAAAAATGCTGATGGAAGCAGTTAAGAGCACTGGCTGCTTCTCCAGGGGTCCTGAATTCAACTCCCAGCAACCACATGGTGGCTCACAACCATCTCTAGTGGGATCTGATACCCGCTTCTGGCATAAAGGTGTACACCCATACATAAAATAAATAAATCTTTAAAAAAAAAAAACCTGCTGATAGAGAGGATGCCTCTTACCATTAAGATTCAAGTAAGATAAGGACTAAAATGAGTTTTGTTTTTAACAGTTAAATACCATGGGTGTAGGGGACTGACAAGATGTTTCAGCTCATAAAAGTACCTGCTACATACAAACTGGGTGGTGATGGCACATGCCTTTCATCCCAGCACTCAGATGGATTTCTGTGAGTTAGTGGCCAACCTGATCTACAGAGCTAGTTCCAGGACATCCAAGGCTGCACAAAGAAATCCTGTCTTAAAAGAAAAAAAAAAGAAAGACCTTTTACAAAAGCTTTGACAACAGATACCGAGAACCCACAGTAGAGGGAGAGAACTAACTCCAGAAAGTTGGCTTCTGACTTCCACACAAACTCTGGCATACACACACACACACACACACACACACACACACACACACACACACTCACACACAAATTTTAAAAATTAATTGGTGCTGTGGCACACAGCTCAATGATAGAGCATTTGCCTAACATGTATGTATGTATGCCTTGTACTCAGTCCCCCAGCACCATTAATTTTTAAGTCTTTGGGCCCAGGTGTCATGGTGCTCACCTTAATCCCAGTACTCGGGAGGCAGAGCAGGGAAATTTTGAGAGTTCATGGCCAGCCTGGTCTGCAGTAGCAAGATCTAGGCCAGTGAGAGATCATATCTCAAACAAATCAGCAACTAAATAGAAATTTTCGAGTTGTTTTGATTTCAAAGGCAAATAGAACAGAAGGCAGCAGGAGAGGAAATGACTGCCAGTTTTGAGAAACTTGGCTGTATAGGAATGACAAAAGAACTTGAGTAACAGTTGTTTTTAACTAAGATTCCAGCATAGCTTACAACTGGAGAGAAAGAAGCTAGTGAAAAGAGGTTGAGGTAGTCAGTAGAGAATATTTGATAAAATTCGTGGAACTTGAAAATGATGTCTTGCAGGAGCTATGATAAGTTAAAGGTAGATGTATCTCTTTACACACTGCATGAAATGGGATAAATTTCTTAACCCTGGGGCTGGTATTAATTTGAATTTTTTTTTCTTGTTTTGCTTCATTTTGTTTGAGATATATTCTTGGCTAGCCTGGAACTTCTGTGTAAATTAGTCTGGTCTCAAAATCAGAGTTCAGTCTACCTCTGCCTCCTGAGTGCCAGAATTAAAGGCATACACCACCATGTTCAGCACTTGAAATGTTGGGATTCGGGGTGGGGGAAGCGGTTTGTGGTACATGTCTTAGTCAGAGACACCGACCAAAGCAACTCTTACAAAAGAAGGCATTTGGGGGTTGGGAGAGGCTCACTTACAGTTTCAGAGGTTTAGTTCATTATCATCATTGTGGGGAGCGTGGTAGCATGCAGGCAGGTTCTAGAGCAGTAGTTGAGAGTTTTACATGTAATCTGCAGGCAGAGAGAAATAGACGGACAGACAGACTGGGTCTGGCATTGGTTTTTGAAACCTCAAGGCCATACCTACTCCAGCCTAATCCTTTCAAACAATTACAATCCCTGGTGACTTAAGCATTCAAACCTATGAGCCTGTGGGGACCATTCTTGTTCAAACAACCACAGTACATAAAAAGAATTTAAGTCAGTCGTGCGTTGTGGTACACACTACTTGGCACTGGGAGGTAAAGGCAAGAGAATCAGGAGTTGGAGGCCAGAGCAGCCTGGGCTGTATCATACCCTAGAGAGGAAAGGGAGAGAGAGATTGATTGACATAGTTGATGCTACTTTGCGGATGTTCACAGATAACAAAGGTACTGCCAGATGTTCTTGGGTGGTTTGTTTCTTCTGGGATGCTGAATCAGGAATGTGAGACAAGTGACTAGAAGAAATGAGGAGAACAGTTAAAATAGTAGTTATAGAGTACTAGAATATCCTGGTTAACTTAGATCAAGTAGATTGATCAACAAGGAGCTTTTAAGAACACACGTGAGATTGAAAAGTATGAGCTTAGGTGAGGAATGGTGGTCGTTCCTAAGAGTGGAGAAAGCTACCTTTGGCCATAGCTATAGGGAGTTTCAGGGCTAGTGTAGGTAAACAGGAAAGAATAATAACCTTTCACCGATGGGCCCTTCTGTCTAGAAAGCCCTTTGCTTTTCTACATGCCAGTCTTTTCCTCACCACCCCAACTCAGATTTCTTCGGCTACTTCACCAAAGCCAAATTCCTAGTGTCATTTCTTTTGCCAATTTTCATGGATCTGGAGACTATCAAATCATCTTAGTCTCAGTATGTCTTTATATATAAGTCTTTAGTTTTGTATGTCACTAAAAGCCTTGTCAACACTACCATGTAATTGGTAGTAAATTAGCGGTCAGCTGGTCTACCTCTCCTTGCTTCTTAAGCTGTTTATTTTCCATGTGTCTACATCTCACAGTGTGTTTGTAAGCTCTCAAAACCACTGAAAGGTAGTCAAACCACCAAGATTTTTATATAATAGTAGCCAGATGATCCCAACAACTAGGTCATTGTTTGAAATTGTGAGTATTTATTGATTATTCTGTAGACAGTGTTGAAGGTTTTATATAGTACATTGAACATGATAGAAATAGACCAGTAAAGAATTTACTCTTCATTTTACTCAGTAAGCCTATTTGCAAGTGGTGCCTATTTGCAACTGACCTTTTTAGAGACATTTGGGGCCATTCAGTCTCTCACACTAAAGTTAAACTTGAGTAAACTAATCCAAGTTCTTAGGACTAGAATCCAAATTTCATTACTGATGGAATTTCCCCTGCTACCAACATTGTTGTAAGAGCTGTGTTTTAAAAAATAGAGACCAATTTAAACAAAATTCTTATTTGAGCTGTTTTAACTCTCCCCTCATTTTTAATGTTGTACATACACATTTTTCTGATAGTATTCAGTGTACTTTTTATTTTGTATTTTTTTATTATATGTAAACATCATACACATTTTTCTGATAGTATTCAGTGTACCTTTTATTTTGTATTTTTTTATTATATGTAAACATGTTTCATGTTTTAAGTTTCATAATTGTTTTTGGTAACTGCGTACAACTCATTAAATTGATACACCATAACCTTATGTCAAAATGCCTATCATAGGAAAATAATTATTTCTGATTTATGGTGTGATGGATAATGCTGCACTAAACATCTTTGTGCATATCATTTTTTCTTCTGAATTATTTCCTTAGGAAAAATTCCCAGAAGTGGAATTACAGGATCAAAGGGTATGAACATTTTTATGGCTCTTAATATGTGCCAGTAGAATTTTCTTTAAGTATTGATGAAGCCACTGAGTGGCCTGAAAAGGATTTCAGCATTTGATCGGGACTAATAATACTTTCACGTAGGGCTAGGTTGGCAAGTGCTTCAGGCTTGAGTATTTATCATGTACACTAGCTAACTTCATAGCCTTTGTTTGATGAGATAATTATAAGACAGGTAGTGTTTTGAATTAACCCTTCTGCTAATGCATAGTGGAAAATTCATTTGTTGTTACTACTTTTTTACTGTGTGCTTTGAATAAATGTATTTTACTATTTGTTTGTAGGATTTGATTAGAGACCAGGGGTTTCGTAGTGATGGAGGTAAGTAATGATTTTAGTTTTTTGTGTGTGTGTGTTTTTTTTTTTAAAGGCAAAAATGCAATTGCTTTGCTGCTTGTCTCCTTTATAGTTGCTTTTTTTCATGAAACAGACACAGAGAAAAATGTGCAGAGAAAACCAAATCAGTTTTTGTTTTGTTTTTTATAGTAGTTATCATTTACTGCTAACAGAATTTAAAATTAGTCATAACACGTAGAGAAAATGAGAAGACATAAAAGAAAGTCTTAAATGTACCATCCATGATTTTAAAATACACTACCAAGGAGAGATCCTTAATTATTTTATCCACTTTTTAATTTCTCCTGCCTTCAAATCTGGAGTCCTAAATTTCTTTTGGCCTCCACCAAATACTTAGAGGCGCTTAGAATCAGATTAAATCATTCTAAATCACTCTTTGGGGTTGCCTGCCACATCTCCTCAGTTTGTCAGACTTCATCAAGCATTTCTCATCAACTTTCTAGATCTATTTGAAATGTACATTTATTTCATGGAATGACCCATAATGGAAAAATTCAGTTATTCTCTTATTGGTATAGTAAATAAAATATACACATGAGAAATTACATTAAGATTTCTTATAGAATTTCCATCTAGCCTCCCCTCCAGCAAAGATAATATTATTTAAGAAACTGTTTTTTGAGCCAAGTGTGATAGCTTATACCTGTGATCCTAGCTGAGGCAGGAGGAACATGAGTTTGAGGCTAGCCTAAGTCTACAAAGCAAGACTCTCAAAAAAAAAAAACCAAGAAACCTCTATAATAATGTGCCCCATATATTTTCTAAGAGATGGCATTTGAGACTGTCTTGAAGTTTTCTTACAAGAGGTCTTCTGTATTAACCTTCTCAGCTGCCTTCTGTCTTACAAGGAAGACCATATTAGCTGCACACCATGCTGGGTTCTTCACTGTGACCTTCTGTATCTTCAAAATAGGTCCAAACCCAGACTCAGTATTTTATACTGAGTGAAGACTGTATAAGCCATATATTGTTATGGTTCTGGACTTCTGTGAGGGTATCAAATAGCAAGCATGAATATGTACTTAGTATGAACTGTATCATATAGTTATTCAAGAGTTTTTGTTGTTTGTTATTCCATGAGCCTGCCAATTAATGTTGCTGCCAGTTTGACTTTCATGTCTTAATAGCTGTGGCTGCTGATAATTTTACCCAATACATCCAGCATTTAAATGTTCCATCATGTTAGCATCACAGTTAACTTAGTAGTAAACAGCCTGCTTAGTACCTAAAATCAAGTGGCATTTCTTATCTTTGTTATAAGTCACTTTTTAAAAATTCATTGGGGTTTTTATGAAAATATAAGCAGATTTTTAAAAACCGTCCAGAATTATTTTGTAAAGCAGGCTTCAGTTCATCTAATTTATTCCCCATGACTTCTTTCATTTCTTCTGTGTGTCTGTCTTCCTGTGTTTGCCTGCCCCTCTCTTTCTCTTCTAACAGCCCCCTTGAACCAGCTGATGCGCTGTCTTCGGAAATACCAATCCCGGACTCCCAGCCCCCTCCTACATTCTGTCCCCAGTGAAATAGTGTTTGATTTTGAGCCTGGCCCAGTGTTCAGAGGTAGTTGGGCTCTTCTTTCTTGTTTTTACCCAAGCAAACTAAATATAAATTACAGATTCTGTTTGTGCCTCACCCTCACAGCGTGTGTTTGTAAGTGTGAGAGTTTTAAGTACTAAATTTCTGCTTGGCCTGGCTGGAATGCTCTGAATGTGCTTTTCACACATCCTCACTACTGCAAGCTTTCTGTATGCTGTCCATTATAAAGTTTTAAAAGCAAGAAAATTCTGAGTTGGGATTTCCATCTTGTTTATTGTTGTCTTATTTCTGTTTGGTCTTGATAACTTCTTAAATTCTGGGGACATGGGCAGGATTCCTTTTACTTTAGTTCATTAGATGATGACTTTGATTAAGGTTTTTATGCTGGGCACATTGGCTCATATCTATAACCTTAGCACTTGAGAAGCAGAGGCAGGAGGAGAGTCACTGAAGGTTTGAGGCCAAAGAGATTTTTATGAGACTTTGGACAGTTTTTTGAGATTTTGTCATAGAAGTAATTTTTTGTTCTTTATTTTTTCCCTTATATGTGTATTGATTAATCCATAAACATGAATTCAGAAAAACTGAATCTATATATGTTAAAACGCCCTCATGTGAGGGAAGTTAGTAATATAGTCTCCTATTTTGCCTGTCATTTATTTATTGTTAAATTAACTTTTAAATTTTAAGATTAAAATTTGGGTATTTTTTACAATTATATTTACTGCCTTGATATCCTTAGTGACCTATAATTAATATAATGATGGTGTTTTAGAATTTTCCATCAGCTTAGCTGTTCCACAGTGTAGTGGAAGTCATTCAGTACTCAGTGATGTAGTTAAACTAAGTAATACAATAAAAAAGAATTGTGCATGAGGCAAATTGTTAATGCTGTATAATGTTGGAAGTTATCAGTGGTTTGTATAAAATGTATTGTGCTCTAGTTAAAAGAAATTCCAAATTTCTTTTAGAAAATTGCATATGCAAGCATAGAACTTTCATATGGTGCTATAATAGTATATAATGACTATAAAACATCTGTCCAGATTTAGCACTTAAATACTGTCATTGGCATCCTTGCTGTTTGAAAGAACATGACTCTTTTTTTACCCTTGAGAGTAGTATATTTTATAATTTCTTGGAGATTTTTGCTGCTGTGTATGGAAGTTCTACCTGGAAATCTCAGGCCTGTTCACCATACATGTACTCTGTGGAGTCATTGCTCTAAACTCCTGTGTCCCATGTACCATATGTGCTTCTGCTGACTGAGCCTACTTACACAGCTCACTTGCCTTATAAAATATTGCTGTATATTTGAAATACAACTGGGATTCCATAGCACTTATTTGCTCATTTTAATAATACTAAGTTTTTCAGAAAGTCTTGAAAGCCTATTTAGCAGGGCTGGAGAGATGATGGGTCAGCAGTTAAGAACACTAGCTGCTCTTCCAGGGGACCAGGGTTCAGTTCCCAGCACCCACAATGGCAGCTCACCACTGTCTTTAGCTCCAGCTCCAGGAGTTCCAACACCTTCACGTAGATACACATGCAGATAAAACACCATTGCCCATAAAATAAACATAAATAAATAATAAAAGAAAAAGAAAGAAAACCAGGTCCTAGAGAGATGGTTCAGAGGTTAAGAGCACTGGCTGTTCTTCCAGAGGACTCAGGTTCAATTCCCAGCACCCACATAGCAGCTCCCAACCAAAAGGTATCTAATGCTGTCTTCTGTCCTCCACAAGCACCAAACGGACAAATGGTACACAGACAGTCAAAGCACCTATAAACAAATAAAACAAAAAAAACCAATAAAATACTAATTGAAAAAAAAGAAAAAGCCTACTTAGCTTTGTTTATATTACTTTGCAATAAAGGTAACAATCTATATTTAATAGAAAAAATTCCAGGGACCACTGACACTGCCCACCATCTCTTAAACAATAGAGCTACAGTTTGAGATCATATATAAATTTAGGGCTAATATGAAAGAAATATTTTAACGGGCTGGAGAGATGGCTCAGTGGTTAAGAGCACTGACTGCTCTTCCAGAGGTCGTGAGTTCAATTCCCAGCAACCACATAGTGGCTCACAACCACCTGCATTTAGATCTGGTGCCCTCTTCTGGCCTGCAAAGACACATGCAGGCAGAACACTGTATACATAATAAATAAAATAAATCTTTAAAAAAAAAAAAAGAAAAAAAAGAAATATTTTAACAGTAAGGCCATTAAAATGTTTCAGTTTTAATGTTTACATGTTTTTTTTAAAATATTGAGGCTATTGAAATAATACAAAATAGTTTGTTTTTTTAGAGTTCTGCAGTGATTCTGTTATTAGGTTTTTGGTTTGGTTTTGTTAGTTTTTTGAGATAGGGTCTATGTATTATGTGGCTCTGGCTGTCCTGGAACTTGCCCTGTAGACCAGGCTGACCTCGAACTCACAGAGATCCACCTCCCCGCTCTGCCTCCCAAGTGCTAGGATTAAAGGTGTGTGGTACAATGCCTGTGCATTAGTTGTGATGTTTTAATTTTTTATCAAAGGAAGAGGAACTTGGTAGTAAATTTTAGAAAGTGTGCCTTGGTGTAAAGATTGTGTTTTTCTAGACTTGTTTATTAGTATCAATCTTAATAGTCATTAAATTGGCCAGAAAACCAAAAGAAATTCAGTACTAATCGCAAATAATGCCTCTTTTGGCCTACCCTTTGTAAAAGGCTAATATTTAGACATGCACTGCATTTTAAAGTCTAAATCTCCCCACTTTGTGGCCTTGTTAAGTGAACATGCTTGCTCCTCCTTAATGCTTCCTCTTCCTTAATGAGGATAATTTCCCCTTCCTCTAATTTAGGGTCAACTACAGGTTTGTCCGCCACCCCACCTGCCTCATTGCCTGGCTCACTCACTAACGTGAAAGCCTTACAAAAATCTCCAGGACCTCAGCGGGAAAGGAAATCATCATCATCCTCAGAAGACAGAAATCGAATGGTAAGGCTATGTGGTGTGTTTTTCTTATAATCGTAGCCAAATATAATTTTTTTCTTTGTTTTTTTGTTTTGTTTTTTGAGACAGGGTTTCTCTGTGCAGCTTTGCGCCTTTCCTAGAACTCACTCTGTAGCCCAGGCTGGCCTCGAACTCACAGAGATCTGCCTGGCTCTGCCTCCTGAGTGCTGGTATTAAAGGTGTGCGCCACCACCGCCCGGCCTGCCAAATATAATTTTACCATTTAGACATAAGAGGACTGTATGATACAAAGTTCTTGTCAAATACATTTGAGTTGATGGTTTTTTTGTGTAAAGTATATTCACACAAAACTGATTTTTTTGCTTCCATTTCTAATCAATTTTTTGTTTTGTTTTTTGAGACAAGGTTTCTCTGTGTAGCTTTGTGCTTTTCCTGGAACTCACTCTGTAGTCCAGGCTGGCCTCGAATTCACAGAGATCCGCCTGCCTCTGCCTCCCGAGTGCTGGGATTAAAGGCGTGTGCCACTACTGTCTGGCCTAATCAAATTTTTAAGAGGTCGTTTTGAAAGGAAAACAATGTTCTGTTTCTAAAATAAGGAGAACGGGCATTAACAAGTATTCAGAAAGCATGAGTAAGCATATGTGTTCTAAAAGCTGGTTCAGAATTCAATAACTACCAAATGACATTCTTCCATATTTAAAAATTAACTTTCTGCTACTTTTACCTTACCAAAGCAATTGATATGTTGATTTTTTTTTCTTTTTTGATGACCAAATCAGTTAAAATATGTAAGGAAATCTAGTACCAACAGTTAACATATTAAGTTAAATTTTTAGGGATTTGAAGCCAAAACTAGCCACAAATATATAGTTGTTATCTAACCTCTGTAGTCCTCCAAATAGTTAAAAAGCCATTTTATTTTGATTTTAATAATAACTATCTATTTAATAATAACAATTTCTACACATAAATTATTTTATTTTTAAATTATTTAATTAGTATTTTATTATTTTCTGTATATGGGTGTTTGACTGAATGTATAAAGACAACATGTACATGCCCAGTGCTGAAGGAAGCCAGAAGAGTGCAGTGGATCCCCTAGGACTAGAGTTATGGATGATTGTGAGCTGCCATGTGGGTGCTGGGACTTGAACCCAGGTCCTCTAGAAGAATAGCCACTGTTCCTAATTTGTGAAATATCTTTCCAGCCCCAGTTATTTCTGTTTTTAAGTAATTTTCCATTCTAATATTGACTCATCTTAAATTAGTTTTATATTTTGAGTCATGATTGTAACTATTGCTTCCTCAACATGGTGGCATTCTATTGTTTTCTTTCTTCTTTTCTTAGAAAGACCTTGCTCTCTTCCTAACTTCCTGTCAGGCAGCAATATATTTAGCATGAAATAAGGTTTTTCTCTTTTGTTTGCCTTGACTTGACTTTTGCACTGTATTTTTTGAGAAAACACTTGGTAGACGAGATTCAAGTGATGATTGGGAGATTCCTGATGGACAGATTACAGTGGGACAAAGAATTGGATCTGGATCATTTGGAACTGTCTACAAGGGAAAGTGGCATGGTATGTATGTAATATGGTTCCATTGACACAAGTAAGATACGTTTAAAAACTTTCGTTTTAAAAATTGAAGCCAAAGCTGGGTGTGGTGGCACAAGCCAGCCTGGTCTACAGAGCTAGTTCTAGGACAGCCAGGACTACACAGAGAAACCTGTCTGTGGGGTAGAGGGATGACAGGCCAGGCATTATGACACACACCTATATCCTAGCACTTAGGATGTAGAAGCCTGAGCATTAGGAGTTCAAGGTCATCCTTAGCTATGGAGAAAGTTCAAGACCAACTTGAGTACTACAAGAGACTGTCTCAAAAACAAATATGAAGTCAAAATAATCACTGTTTGTATCATTAAACTGTTCGATCAAATGCAAGAGTCCTCCAAAGGTTTCTAACAAAAATAATGGAACATAAAAACTGGCTTCACAGTAACCAAGGTTGCTATCAGTACTTTACAGTAGAGACTTGTAAAGATGAAGGTCATTAAGCTATCTAGTCCAAAAGGAAGTTTGTTTTCCTTTTAGAAGTATTCCTTTTGATAATTTTATGGATATTATAAGTCACAAGTAAGCATAAAAAATGTTCAGCCTCGGAGTTGGGGATTTAACTCAGTTTTAAGGCTCTGGGTTTGGTCCTGGGGGGAGGGGGGACGACAAAATGACAAAACATGTTCATCCTCACTAGTTTTCTAAGATTACAAATTCAAAAGATAGAAACCACAACTCTCCTTCCAAATGAACAACAACAAAAAAAATTTAATTGATTACATGTAGATTGCAATTATAATCCTGCTTATTTCCCTCTTGCTAATGTGGAAATATGAAAATTTAGAAGACTGTACATTGAGCCTAAGCAAGTAATTGGACAGCAATGAACAGGTTGATACCTGGGATCGTATACTCCCCAGAGGTATGATAATGATGGAAAATTAAAGTAGACTTGAACACTCACTAGTAGAAGGTTTGATTAACACATCGATACATCCATATATAGTTATATGAGAGTCAAAATTACATAATAGAGCTACAGTGATATGGAAAGGTGTCTCATATATTAAGTTGTTTGGAGCAGCATATATAATACCTTCATGTTAAAGATCTATAGAAGGGCTGGAGAGATGGCTCAGAGGTTAAGAGCACTGGCTGCTTTTGCAGAGGTCCTGAGTTTAATTCCCAGCAACTACATGGTGGCTCACAACCATCTGTAATGTGTCCCAGTGCCCTCTTCTGGCCTGTAGTAAAGACATACATGTAGTAAAGACATACATAACTAACTAACCTTCAACTATAACTAACTAATCTTCAACTCCCTCAGAGACCCAAGAAGGAAATAATATTAGCTAACAAAAATAAAAACAGAAAGTGCATGCAAGCAAACTTACAAAAAATTTGTGAGTTGACAGAAACAGCCAGCTGCCTGGACAGTCACCTGAGGTTTCTCCGCAATGCTGGGGCATCATCTTCAGCCTATAGGCTTAGCATATCTGACAGACTCATTTGTGAAGTAGGATGTACACAAGGTCAACAGTTCAACCTCACATTGGGTGAGAGCAGTCCATGTACCAGAAACACCTGAATTCCACTAGTGCCATGTCATGATTCAGGATTTTAAATTCTGGAAATTGTTGATGGTTTTTTAATTCAGCTGTCCATTCTTCTTGGCTGTGTATATATGGCTTCATCTCAGCATCCCGTTCTTCTCCACATCCCTCTGTCAAATGCCAGTTTACTATTGAGAGGTGAGCTTAGTTACTCTTCAAGAATAACTGTTTCAGCTGCTGTTCCATTGCACATCAGAAGCCATCGACCCACTGCCTATTCAGCTGCCTTCGAAGAAAAGGGCACTGTACCTTTTCCGAATTGCGAAGGCCATTTCAGGGATGGTGCCATATTGTCCTGGCCTCCGAAGATGCCTTTTGATAAAGCCATAACCATACTTGTTTTGGCAAGAATCAGTAGTTTTTTGTTTCATGTCCTGTCTGTCCATTTTGTCAGCAGTTGATTCGAGGATACTTTGTTGTCCAGTGGCTAACTTTTGCCACAATGAAAGTTAACTCCATATGCAGTTTCTTCAATGCCCATATTTTCTCTGAAGTAGATTGGTACTGCCAGGAGCTGACATGTCTCATAATCATAACAAAAAAGAAAAATTTTCTAAGTTATTAAAACATTTTAAATGCCATATTCTGTAGATCTCTGAAGGGTTTGAAGATGACCTGTCTAAAATATATCTGCTCAATTTTTAAAACATATCTAATATGACTACAAGTTCTATTATAATGTCTAACTACTAACTTTCATTTCTTTATATCCTAATAGTTGGTAATAATAATATTCAAGGATCAGAAAATTGCATTGTTAAATGAACGGTATAAGTACAATTAGAAATATACATATAGCATTTTCTAACAATATCAATTTCAATATATATAATTTGTATACAATATAAAACAATCCAATCCAATGTAAAGTATTTAAAACCAGTAATTGTCTTTTTCTTCTTCTTTCTTTCTCTCTTTTTTTTTTAAACAAGAACCTTAAATCTAATCTCCTTTGCTTAGCCTTTTTTCTAACCCTTGACAACAACTTGTAACCAACCCCCTAAACAATGAAAATTATCCCAGACCCAAAACCCATTAAAAAGACCAAAAAACCACCCGCCCCACACCACCTCTTTGGGAATGTGGGTGTCGTATTCTTAAAATTGCTTCCTGCTGGGTATGGGCGAAATTATCTTTATCCTGAAAGAAAAATTTTAGGTTAATTGTCAAATTGTAGGAAAGGTAACCATATCCTTCATTATCCAGTCTGTGTATAATGCCAAAGTTCAGGGTTTATCTCAAGTCCTTATTCAAGTAGTCTTTGAGACTGGATCATCTCAGCTAGTCATCTCAAAATTGCTCTGAGCACCTTGTAGTTCAAAGCTGATCTGTAGATGATGTTTGTGAGCTTAGTGATATTATTATTGTCCACGTGGAATTGGTGTTGTTGTGGGGCCCCAACTTCTTCCTGGAGACTTCAGTTGATATTAGGCCTGGCCGTGATTTCCTGCAGAAAACTGATAAGAGACTCGAACACAAAGACATATATATGCAGCTAATTGAAGCCTTTTTTCTAGAATTAATTAGTACTCTATATGACCATTCATATCTTAACAAAGTTTAAAATATATATATAACTATATATCTATATATATTAATCTTGTAAATTTTGATATGAAATTTATATTTTAAGAAAAGTTTTAAAGAATCAGAATAGAATCAAAGAGTTGAGATTAGTAATAGAATAGTCCCTTACTTAATTTGGCTTTTCTCCTGTCCCATAGCAGAAGATGGCTCTTTTATTCTGGCATGATACAGGGGGTTTGCATTTTCCTTTTAACAACATGCTTGAGTTTAAAGAAGGAGAGAGCCATTCTCCAACTCTAAAGTCAGCTTTAAATTTTAATTGAACTGGGACTCTTAGAAGACCAATAGTGTTAAATTTTTAGAGAAAAGCAGAAACAAACATTTAGGAAGACATAAAATTTTTTAGATAATATATACCCATACGCCGTTTCACTCTGTTTCCTGGGATAGATGATTTGTCCCTTTTCTTCAGTTGTCTCATTTGTCCAGTGTTCTTCAGATTCCTTAACCTTCATTCTCCTAAAAGACAAAAACAAAAACCTTTCCCCAAGACTAATTTTGGGGATGTTCCTTTTTGGCAAGTTATTATCTGATTAAATGAAAAGACATGTGTTACTGGTAAGTTAGTTTAATTTGGATGTTCATGCTGGTTGATGAACTATCACCTCCTCTAATTAAGAGGTTTCTCTTGTTCAAATCGAACCTTTATCAATTTTGATGGTACCCACAACTTATCTTCTCCTGTAGAAACAAAAGCAAAACCTCGTCCCCAACGTAACACATACCCTGGTTTCCATTCTGAGGTCAGCACATCCTTAAAGTATATAGGCTGATTTAATTCTGTAGTTTTTTCTATTATCCAATGTCTCTCTGCAGCTGTTGTTCCTTTCTCATTGGCATTAAGAAAATTCAAAGTTAATAGAGCATTATGCAGTCTGTTTCTGGGGGTTTTTGTTACCCCTTTCTGTTTATTTAGCATATCCTTTAGAGTTCTGTTTGATCTTTCTACAATTGCTTGACCTGTAGGATTATGTGGTATGCCTGTAATATGCTTTATATTGTAATAAGCAAAAAACTGTTTCATTTTAACAGAGACATATGATGGAGCATTATCAGTTTTGATTTGTGCAGGTATACCCATGATGGCCATAACTTCGAGCAAATGAGTGATTACAGAATCAACTTTTTCAGAACTCAAAGCAGTTGCCCACTGAAATCCTGAATAAGTATCGATAGTGTGGTGTACATATTTCAGTTTTCCAAATTCTGCAAAGTGAAACATGTCCATCTGCCAGATTTCATTCCTTTGAGTACCTTTTGGGTTACATCCAGCTGGTAATGGCGTTTGATTGTAGAAGGAACAAGTAGGACATTTCTTTACTATTTCTTTGGCTTGTTGCCAGGTTATGGAAAAATCCTTTTTTAAACCTTTACTATTGACATGATGTTTTTTATGAAATTCTGAGGCCTCCAGCACATTTCCTATCAATAATTTATCAGTCTCATCATTGCCTTGTGCTAGAGGGCCTGGCAGACCAGTATGGGATCGAATGTGAGTTATATATGAAGGATGACTCCTTTTCCTGATTGTATCTTGTAATTGAATAAATAGTGAAGTTAATTCTGAAGCATCAGGGATAAATTCTGCAGTCTCAATATGTAATACTACTCTTTCAGCATACTGAGAGTCAGTTACTATGTTGAGAGGTTCTGAAAAATCCATTAATACCAACAGAATAGCATACAATTCTGATTTTTGAACTGAATTATAAGGACTTTGAACCACTTTACTTAAATTTTCTGATTTGTAACCTGCCTTTCCTTGTTTGTTGGCATGTGTATAAAATGTACGAACTCCAGATAGGGGTTTTTCCCGTACAA